TACTGTATGAGCAACTTAGATCCGACATGTTATTGAAAAGGGTAAACTATACGAGAGGTCATTCAACTATGCTCAAACGATCATTATGGTCATTGAATTTTTAAAAGTTACAAAATAATCATTAAATTTATAAAAAAATGTCCACTTCTTATAACGCTGTATTGAAAGTTTAGTGACCAAAATGATCATTTGAGCATAATTCACTTGCCTATGGTGTACTCTACCTTGTTAAAATGGAACAAATATGAAGACTCAATTAGAATCTTTTAAATGGAACAACATAGTCTTCAATCGATAGTTTGGAGATGTTTAATGCAATTAAACCTACTTTAAAAAATTCTATATCCGGAAAAGGGTCATTGGAAATGAATGGTGAATCTCTCTTCCTTTGATTTCTTCAGGCACAATGCTTTTGCTAATAGATACGTTCAAGTAACTATACATCAAAGCCAAGAACTTTGCAAATCACCTAGCAGTAACAACAGCCATGATTAATCTCAATAAACACAAAGTCAATCCTTCGAATCATGTCATAATACATAATCCGAAATCATTATTGATACGATTTCAGATTATATATTATCTACACGTCCGTCGAATAATGCATAATCTCAAAAAACAATTCCGGATTATACACTCACCAAAGCCTCGTAACACTCCTTGATAGACTCCAAGAACATGAAGAACACTTTGCTTCCTCGAACATCTAATAACCCCACAAAGGAATCAACAGCATAAATAGGGGCCATAAGAATTATAATCAGTATAGCTTTCTGCTCCTTTGGGTTTTGCCATTGGAAAAGATGCTGCGATACAAGCTGAAGAGTGAAATGCAATGTAAGCAACACACAAGCAACAGATCCCATCAGAGTAATTTGCCCACGGTTCAATTGGCTCAAATCCAATGTTTTCTGCTAAGAAATAAAAAACCCAAAGCGAGAATCTGCAAGAAAATGAACTAAACTGATCAAAAAATCCATTGAAATGAAAATTAAGAACTACCCAGATTGCGGGAACTAACCTGATCAATGAAATCTATGAGAGACCAGAGTGAGAATTAAATACAGCAAGGATAATTGTACAATAGTTGCAGCTTGAGCAATTTACGTGCCTCCTGTTGGCACGTTTTGAATGTATAAAGAACACACGGTGTCGACGCTGATTTTCCCAGTGAAGCTCAAGGGTAGGTCGTCAATGGTGTGGAGGAGTCTGATTTGATAAAGGGTCATTTCAGAAAATTAAATATGTGACGGAGAAGAGATTATTTTGACTTTACGAAGCTCGCTATACACATATTTGTTATTGGTGGCAATGAATGCTAGCTGATTACTGATCAGTGTGCTTTAAAATTTACTGCTCAAGATGGTAACTTTCGGATATTGGTTTGTATGCAACAAAAAAAGAGTACAAATAGGACGGTAAAAAAGAAGCAATTCCCTTGAATGCGCCATTGCTTGACTCCAAGTCTCAAGCATTGTAAGTCTCGCTTAGTATCTCATACATTCATCCCCTTGGTTGACTCTCCTAACTTTGTTTTGATGCAGACAAATGAAACAAGACGACACTTCACACCTACTAAAACCTTTGATTCTATCTATTCTTAATTCTGTATTTTGGTCACATTAGTGAACATTTTTCTTGCAAAGTCTCCTATTTGTTTCGTTATCTGAAAATTTTCTGCAATACTGAATCATGGATATGAAGAAATCATTGCCATTAGCTTTAGTTTTTGCATTCATTTTTGTGGTTTACTGTTTGATCGTGCCCTGTCTTCCACGGTCACATATGACAATAGGGCATTGGTTATTGATGGCAAGAGGAGGGTATTGCAGTCCGGTTCTATCCATTATCCTAGAAGCACCCCGGAGGTTGCTTTTATGTCCATTTTATATGTGCATTGATGCTTGTTCTATACTTCTACTTAGTGAAGTTTCCTCCGTTTGTTGTTATGACATGGACCGATCGTTTCAGGTTTGGCCGGAACTTATTAGGAAATCTAAGGAGGGCGGATTGGACGTGATCGAGACTTATGTTTTCTGGAACTACCATGAACCAGTTAGAGGGGAGGTATGATGTATCTTAAATGCTTGTCCTTTTTGCTATTAGAACCAATCTTGCTTGTGGTGAATGGAGTAGGCTTTAAGGATGGTAGATTGTACTCATATTTCTTGTTTGGATTATTTTTTCGCATCAAATATGTAAATATAAACACGAGACAAATGATTAAAGGTTTCTAAACATGTGTCCTGTTTTCATATCGTGTCGAAATTTGTTACGGATGTAGCCTTCTGACATGCATAGTTTCCTTTGTTCTTTTTTATCAGTATTACTTTGAAGGCAGGTTTGACCTGGTGAAGTTTGTGAGAATAGTGCAGGAAGCTGGCCTTCTGGTTCACTTAAGGATTGGTCCATATGCTTGTGCTGAATGGAATTATGGGTCTGTAATAGCATTTCACTACTTGTAATGTTTAGTTATTCCCATGGTGCTTACACTACTCACATCTCTTGGCAGCGGATTCCCTCTTTGGTTACATTTCATTCCCGGAATTCAATTCCGTACTACAAACGATTTGTTCAAGGTACCTTTTCTTCTTTATGTGTGCATGTGATCTTATCCACCTGATATTCTTGTACAAATTCGATGTTCTTTCTCTTGTTTATCGCTGCAGCAAGAAATGCTGCGATTCCTCACGAAAATCGTAGGCCTAATGAAGGAAGAGAAGCTCTTTGCATCACAGGGAGGGCCGATCATTCTTGCTCAGGTGATTTGCTAATATCAATTCCATTGTTTGATAAAGCTCATCAATCGATAATCAAATAACTCAACCGAGGATCGTTTAGTTGAATCCATGTCTCATACAGTCATGTATCAGGTTGAAAACGAATATGAGCTCGTTGAATGGGCATATGGGGTTGCAGGAGGATTATATGTCAAATGGGCTGCAGATGCTGCTATCAGTCTTAATACGACAGTGCCTTGGGTGATGTGCCGACAAGAAGATGCACCAGATCCAATTGTAAGTTACCGTTTTCATGATATATAGCATGGCATATATGTCAATTTTATGTGATTGATGAATTTCAACATCTGTCAATATCTGTATGATCTGGTTCAAAGATGTTGGTTTGTCAATACCTGCATATATAATGAGAAGCTGCATGCAGATTAACACATGCAACGGGTTTTATTGTGATCGGTTCACTCCGAATTCCCCATCAAAACCGAAAATGTGGACTGAGAACTACAGTGGATGGTGATTGTCTCTTGCCAATCTGAAATAATTTGTGTAGTTCTGTCATGCCATTGAAATGATGGTAGTTATAGCAGAAAAGCGATGCATCTTAAAACGTGGTGGTGCAGGTTTAAATCATTTGGCTATCCGATTCCTCATCGACCGGTCGAGGACCTTGCTTTTGCCGTTGCACGATTTTTTGAAACCGGTGGGACTTTTCAAAACTACTATATGGTGAGTCTATCTAGTAATGTTCCTTTTTATTCTGCTTGTAACTTGGTAAACATGTGAACGGTATCTATCGTTCTGTTAGTAATATGAACATGTTTTCTGCTGCTGAGCCCTGCAGTATTTCGGTGGAACCAATTTCGGACGAACCGCCGGAGGTCCTCTCGTGGCAACAAGCTATGATTATGATGCCCCAATAGATGAATATGGTAAATTTTCTATTATTCGGTTCATAAGAAGTAGCAAGACTACTTCATTTCAACTGTATTAGCAATACCATTTCGGTGTCGATGCAGGTTTTATTCGACAGCCGAAGTGGGGCCACATACGCAACTTGCACTTGGCGATAAAACTCTGTGAGGATTATTTGATCAATTCCGATCCAACTCACCTGCAGCTCGGTCCTAATCTAGAGGTGATTTTAGATGTTTCAACATGTTTCTTTGTGTGTTACAGGAGGAAAACAAAACAAAAGCATATGGCTTTGAACTCTGATTATAATCATGCAAATGAAATGGTCAATAACTTTGCAGGCACATGTCTACTATAAACCCTCCAACGAATGCGCAGCCTTCCTTGCCAATTACAACAGCGAACAAGACGCAACTGTTACGTATAACGGAACTTCGTACTTCCTTCCAGCTTGGTCCGTAAGCATCCTTCCAGACTGTAAGAATGTCATTTTAACACAGCAAAGGTATTTTAATCATACTTTTCTGCTAGCCAATTGCTATTTGTAATTATTTGTTTGATTGCACATATCATCTCGTCTCATCCCGGTAACCATTTGTTCTCCGATAGCTTTCGCTATAATGCAGTTAATCTGTTCCCTGCACTGTTTTTTTTTCTTGATTGAAGATTGTGTCACAAAGAAACTCTGCTTATACAACTACAAATGATAAGTTAACATTGTCTGCAACATCGTGGAGCTGGTATATCGAAAAACCAGGTGTTTGGGGAAATAACTCGTTTACAGAACCGCGTTTGTTGGAGCAGATTAATACGACGAAAGACACTAGCGATTACCTATGGTACACAACAAGGTAAATCAATAACATTCACTGTTGGAGCAGATTATACAACAGAAAGAGCATCTTTATCTGCTAACTGTTTCACTTTGAAAAACATTATGAACCTTTCTGTCAAGTAAATGAACTGTTTAAAATCTTAACACAAATCAACTATGACATATTATATTCATAGATGAACGAATCTGTGGCCTTTGTTTTTTATAATGCTTCATCGTATTGGCAGTATAAATATCATGCACGGTCAATCGAAAGAGGCCTTCCTGCTTACCGAAAGCTTGGGACATGCAGCACTAGTTTTGTCAACAAGAAGCTTGTTGGTAATTTACTGTGCTAATTGCAGTTGAATACTTAAATCTTGCTTCTTTTATTCATCATATAGACAATGTTCGTTTGATGTGCTCGTGTCCATTCTCGACATCTCTCCATCGCACTCTTTGATGCAAACTTTGAAGCTGAATTTGAAACTATCACTGGTCTTTTAAGTGATCTCATTTTCTACTCTTTTTACAGCTTTTGGATATGGTAATCATGATGATGCAAGCTTTTCAATCAATGAGAAAATTAGTCTTGTTGAGGGGAACAATACATTGGATATATTGAGCATGATGGTTGGTTTACAGGTAATCAATTTTTTTTAGCTTATTACAAAACCTTCAGGCTTGAAGGGTTACCGACTTTAATACGCTTGCGATTTTGATATGTTTCAGAACTTTGGGCCTGGTTCGATGTTCAAGGCGCCGGAGTTTTTTCAGTGATTCTTGTTGATCCATGGAATAACAAATATGATGTTTCTTCTGAAGAATGGACCTATCAGGTTAATTTCCGCAGATCAACATTATCCGGGCTTATATTTTCAGTTATATCATCCATAGATTTTTTTGTATTAATAGGTGGGACTTGAGGGAGAATACCTTGGACTAGATGAAGTAATTCAAGCAAATAACTTGGACTAGGAGTTCACTGTGGTTTCTTTCTTTGCTCCACAAGGCAAGGGTCCTTTAGCTTTAAATCTCACTAGTATGGGGGAAGGGTCAAGCTTGGGTTAATGGACAGAGCATCGGACGATACTGGCCGGCGTATCTCTCACCATCCGATGGTTGTACCGAGAATTGCGATTATAGAGGAGAATACGATTCAACGAAATGTCAACAGAATTGTGGCCGACCAACTCAGACATTGTAAGTTTTACAAAACATTCAATCTCGATCCTACATGTAAACTTCTGTGTTTCATGTATTCTAGAATCGTTGCTATTCATGCTGTTCAGATATCATGTCCCACGCTCTTGGGTACATCCCGGTGAGAACTTATTACTTCATGAAGAGCTCGGTGGTGACCCTACACAGATTTCAGTGCTGACACGATCTGGCCAAAGATTTGTTTCATTTGTATCCGAGGATGATCCTAGGCCGGCTGATTCTTGGATACCAAACGAAGGCTTCGGGTCTCAAAGTCCCGAAGCTCAACTCACCTGTGAACAAGGCTGGCGCATTACTTCGGTTAACTTTGCCAGTTTTTGGATCTCCACAAGGAAATTGTGGTTCATTCAAGGCAGGGACTTGTCATGCTAACATACTATCAATGGTTAAAAGGTAGGGACCCTTGCCCTGGTGCGCCGAAAACCCTTGCCATTGAAGCTATATGCAGCGAATGAAATCCCATTGCTTTTTCACTTATTAATACGTATACAATGATGCTGTAGATTTTTTATTTCGACATGGAATTGATAACACAGAAGCTTGCTGATTATATCTTTCTCAAATATATGCCACTGTAAACCTTTCACAACAAATCAGTTTTGCATGATTGTCATTTTGGTAAAAAGATTAAATTTTTCACACAAGGACGCTTCACATACAAGATTCACAAGTGTCTTGTTTTATGATCAAACCACACCATCGTCTCACTATAAGACAAAGCCCTTACCGGCATCATGGAACAAGAAGTATCTTCCCAATATGCTCACTACTTTCCATGAGTCGATGAGCCTGCCCAGCCCTCGGATAAAGGAAAAGATTTGTAGATGATAGGCTTCACCTTGCCTGCTGCAACTGCAGGCCAAACATTCTTCTCCACTTCACTGACAACCATTGCTTTGTTCTTGGACTTCTCGGTCGCAGTGCAGCCCCTGGGATGCAAAAATACCAAAATACGTTAATAAACTGTTACCTAAAAAGGACATGCTTTCCTATATTCCCCAGAAGATGCAACATATGTAAAGATTACATGACATTATATGCATTACAATTTTCTCTATTACCTTGCACGGTGAGCCGCTTTGGAAGTAAAGTATTGAGTTTAATTTCGGTGACTGCTCCACCCTGGAAGCCAATAATACAAAGCCTTCCATCGAAGTTTAAGCTGTCTAGGTTTCGCTTAAGGTAGGATGCTCCAATACAATCCAGAATTACATCGACACCTGCCATTAAACATTTCAGAATTCAAATTGGCTGTGTTAATGCTGAGAAGAAGAGTAACAATTCCAGTGTTAGAACTCAGACAAAAGATGTTATTATAAAAACTCAAGAGCGTACCCTTCCCTCCAGTTTCTTCCTTAACACGTGCAGCAAAGTCCTCTGTTGTAATTGATGCAGACATCGGCTCCAAGTTTCTTGCAGAAAGCTAATTTTTCTTCACTCCCTGGAGATCAACACTACCACATCTAAATATAACCCAAATGAAAATACAAAACTTTTTACAATCACTATTGGAAGTAGACCTGCTGTAACCAATACTGTTGCTCCTTTTTCCTTGGCTATCTGAATTGCAAAAGTGCCAATTCCACTTGAGCCGCCATGGACCTGAAATTCTAATAGCCGTCAGATTACATCTCGAGCAATAGACCAGATCGTATATTACATAGCTAATGATACTCAAAAGAGACAAAGAAAATAGACTGATAGAGAACAAGTCAGGACAGGCATTGGAATGTTTGTTAAGACGAGGCACCAAAACCATACATGTAAACCCAAGTAAGTTGAAAGCTAAGCATTTCAGTAATGCTCTCAGCAGATAAAAGTCAAGACAAATAATTCATAATGTAAGTTAAAGGATAATTGATTGACCAATGGACAAGCCATACCAAATATGTCTTCAGTGACACGGACACAAATCCTGAATTCCTGAATAATATGGACATAAACGAGCTACCCTAGCAACCCAAAGCATTGAACTAGACCACACTGATGATACATAGACAACAATAGTGGATATAATGGTTACCAGGAAAGTCTCCCGGCCAATAAGCGACTCATCATAAAAAGTGGACCAAACAGTACAAGCCACTTCAGGCAAACCAGCAATCTTTGAGTGAAACCCCAGGTGGGATGGAAGAACATGTCCAGCTGGAACCGCACTTCTCAGCATAACCACCACCGTTAAGAAGAGCACACACCTGCATACAATATACAAGCTCAATTTCCTAAAAGGCTAAAAATTCACCAAAATTCAATCTTTAAGCTTCATCCAAAGAAAAACACTGGATCGTTCTATAAAATCATATCTTTTCAATAATCCCGTATGAATCATACTTTGCAAGAAGTGGGGTTTTTTCAATTTTACCTGATCACCAACTTTCCAGCGAGAAACATTGTTGCCAACAGCTAGGACGGTGCCTGAACATTCAAGGCCAGGGTAGGACTAGCACCTTTGGAGGAGGGTAAGAACCTTTCCTCTGGAGAGTATCGGCCGGTTTAAAGCAGTGGCTTCTACCTTGATGAGGACTTCATCATCCTTGATTTCTGGGTCATCAACTTGTTGTAATTGCAACACCTCTGGGCCTCCGCTGCTGTTATCACCACTGACTTCATCTTTTATCTTTCTTTATGTTGGCTTGTTTGATTGATAAGAAATAGTAATGGGCAAAAAATGAGATTCCAGAAGTGGGGTTAGGTTTTGACTTCTCGATTAAGTCCTCAAAAATTTTAAAAGAATTATTTTAACACTTAAAATAACAGTTAGGCTCAGCCTGACTAAAGGACCTAGTTGATAAAAAAAATATTTTGAAAGTGATTATAACTTTTGAATTTAAGACCTATTTAAAATCTAAGAAATAGTTTAGGGAACTTAGTGTAGTTAGACCCTTTATTCTTCTTCTTCTTTTATGATTGGAAGGCACCTCCAAAGATCACATATCTTAGCGTGAATGCATAACCACTTGATGTACTTGCGGAGAAGCATCAACTAGCGCAATTCTAGGCAAAATTCATGACCATATGCCATTCTTTCGATAGAAAATCAACTTATCGATATATATTCGGTTGAAAAAAAATTTAATATTCCTTAAATAAAATATTGTGTTCGAGTTATAAATACAAAAATTGATAATAGAAGAATTCATTATTATAAGTATTCAAAATCTAAAAAACCGACCTTAAACACACATGAATCTATGTCACTCTTAGAAGACAATGAAATTATAGCTAAATAGCTTTTACGTTGATCTTATCAGTAGCAGTTCAACCTTAGGGTAACGTGAAACAGTGGAAATGAAAACTTACACTCAATGATCACGTATGATGTTTGTATTATTTATACAAGATGAACTCATTGTTATGGGACCAGTTTTTTGTTGTTGTCGTGAGTTGTCGAAATTGATACATTAAGTGTTGGCTTAACAAGACGATGGTCGTGTCGGGGAGGATGTCTTTGTTTGGGGTTGTTTTGTTGGCGGCTCTGGCTCCGATTTGATGCCTACAGCCATGGTTGGAGTAAAGAAGGTCACATTTTAACATGTCGGATTGCTCAGGTACTGTTTGTTCCATTACTCTTTTGTTTAGGGTCGATTTACTCGGTACACGATTCGGTTCGGCTTGATTTATCGGATCGATTTATCGGATCGTGTCGCAAGAGCATAATAAGAAATTTATTCTCATTTGCTATAGGGTCTATTAGAGCCCGAGGCTGCAGCAGCTGTTGAAAATTTGCTTCCGGACTATGCCAATGGAGACCTTTCGTCGCTCTGTGTATGGCCGGACCAAGTCCGGCATTGGTATCGATATCGATGGGACAAGTCACTCCACTTCATTGATACTCCGGACGTTGCTTGCTCGTATGAATTTTCGAGTAAGCAGAAAGCTAAGCAATCTTTTTTTTATCAATATTGAATTCTATACATATAAATAATGCAAAATTTGTCATTTGTTCTAGGGGACTGTCATGATCAGCACGGCGTAAAGGACATGTGTGTCGCCGGTGCAATCCAAAACTTTACCTCACAGCTTCTGCACTTCAGGGAGGGATCTTCGGATCGTCCCTGTAAGTAACATTATTACCCGTCCCGTAACTCGATCATTATCATTCTTGTAACACCAATGGCCTCGTTGTTTCCCTGCAGATAACATGACAGAGGCCTTGTTGTTCTTGTCGCACTTCATGGGAGATATCCATCAGCCGATGCACGTCGGTTTCACGACGATGAAGGAGGGAACACCATCGTGTTGCGCTGGTTTAGACACAAATCGAATCTGCATCATGTGAGTAATTTCTTATTAAACTAAACATAGAGTAACAAACAGAAATTTAATATGCATCGTGTATGTATAGGTGTGGGATAGGGAGATCATCCTTACGGCTCTTAAGGACTACTATGAACAAAACTTGGGCAGCCTTCAAGAAGACTTAGTAGGGAATTTCACCGATGTAAGTTCGATTTTTATTCCGAATTATTGCTTATATTCGTATTCTTTCAACCCTTCGTCTCTCTAACTAAGAGTACAGACACTATACTAACGGATCACACGACTTATATTTGTATCCAACCATAAGCAGGGAATCTGGTATGATGATGTTGCAGCATGGGAACAATGTGATGATCTTCTTCCATGCTTGAACAAGTAAGCTTCAACCCTCTTTAGGACAATTATAAACCAACCTAGTGAATTCAGAAAATTACGTTTTTGCCTATGTTACTCGAACTCGAATTATGAGTACAAGTATGTATCCAATCATATTCTGACATTCATTTGTTCGACACGAGTGGACGCATATAAAAAAGAAATTGAAGAGTTTGAGTTCACTTGGTTGATAATCTGTTTAGGGTTTAATCAAAGTTACCATTTTCACATTTGTAGGTATGCTACAGAGAGCATGAACATAGCTTGCAAATGGGGTTACAAAGGCGTAATGTCCGGACAAACACTAGCAGGTACGTATATTATTCTGTAAAGGTCTAATTTTGCTCAGTCCTAAACTCTTTGCACATTCGAAAGCTACTCCCTCTACTTTTAATGAATTAAATTTCAAATGTGCAAAGAATACAGGAACCGAGACCGCAATTAAACCGGTTTCTAAAAGAGTAAAGACACCATTAATACTGTCTTTATTTTTGTTTGTTGGTTTTTATAGAGGAATACTTCGATTCAAGGATGCCTATGTAATGAAAAGGATTGCTCAAGGAGGGGTTAGATTAGCCATGATCTTGAACAAGGTTTTTGGTGGTTCTGAAGAAGGCTTTGCAGAAGCAACATAAATTTATGCAAAAAGGACCAGAAAACTAGGATTGTTGCTTTGTTTAATCTTCAAACAACCTTTGAATTTGACTTAAGTTAGTAATTTTATTTCGGTATGTATGTTCATTGCTAGTCACCACATGTTACTTTGTAATTTGACCATTCGTAAATGATTATGTTAACATCAACAATAATGTCATTAAAATTTGTCAAATTTGATTTTGATCCATATACTATGCTCAGATTTACAATTCAGTCCTTGTATTTCTGTTTAACATATTTAATAACGGGCTGATGGCAATAGTTAATTTAATTAGAACTGTAACTATTTTGATTAAACGTCATGTTAAATTTGGTCCTTGAATTTAGAGAAAATTTGGAAGCATGGTAAGAAAAAATATTCAAATAATGAAATACCATCCAACAAATTGCTTTACGAACTAAGCAAAAATACAAAGTAATGGCTGAAACGTTAAACTGTATCTGTGTGTTATAAGTAACATATACCCATTATTCACCACTATCCGACCATGGCTAGAAACCTAGTTGTCTAGTCGTTTTTGTTGTAGTCTGCTGCGCCTTTGATACTTAGAAATGGATCCACCCAGTTCTTGTCTTCCTCCACAGCTTGATTCCATCGTTCTTTGAACACTTTAAGTTCCCATATCGACTGCCTCCGAATCTGCAACAGTGTTTTCGTTAGAATTCATCTGTGTAAGAATCTAAGCAAATCATGTGCCACAAGGAATCATATTCAATCATCCGAAGAATCTTTCGTTTACAAATGAAGGTGAAAAGCATCAAATATCGAGACTTGTCAATGCTCAAATGGGAACCAAGAGGTGTGGCCTAAGCACTAGAGCCGCTCATGAGCGCATATACTGATGAGGAAACATTGATGAACTGAAGAATCAGTAATCTCACCTCAGTTCGTAGATCGAAACTTGAAGCCTGTGTCTCTGCATGTCAGCAGAAAAATGCATTAAGATACTGAATGAATTACAATCAATCTAGTGCAGCATGATAGCCTCGATGAATCAATCGCTTATTGTAGTTTAACTTGATGCAACAAAATGATAAACAGAACTTGTGAGAAGGGAAGTAGTTGAAGCAGACCTTTATGGTTGTCCTCATTATGGGATGCCCACTACCCCCAAACTTTGTATACCCTTATGAACAATGTATTCGCTATCAACCACGGCCACCTTCTTCGAGCGATCGCCCTGTAATAACATACATAACAGTAATAAATATTTTATTTCTAAGTTGCATGATGAAATATATGTTTATTAGAAACGAAAGGGAAATGAACGTGGTTAACTAAGCAGGTGCAAAAATAGCATCAAGCGAATCTTACCTGTGCACAATACCCGAGTTTCATATCTACTCCTCATCCATGAACAAGATCATTTGGACGAAAAAGAAAAGGCTAAATGAGAGAATGAAACAAAGAATCAACGGCTTTATCAATTTCGAGTAGACGGACAACATGCAAATTTACCTGTATGAGATGCAATGCACAATTCCAGGCAGATCTAGAAACACAGGAGCCATTCCCTCAACAAATCTACAAAGTAATATGAATGACTAAATTAGTATAGTGATGATTAATTGGATAATGAAACTAGAAATTCTTCGAGTTTCAATTAGTCCATTTCTTGTCAGTCTAATCTACTGGATAGTCAGATAACTTTATCAGCTCGTAGCAGAGAATCTCATATATAGGTATATGTAATTTAAGTTGCACTTTTACAAAAACATTGATGAACAAAATTATTGTCATCAAGTTGCTTTAAAACATTCTATCATGCATCCAAGCAATATGATGATAAATAACTCACCCGGTGCATGGTGGCCCCTCGCTTGCATTTGAACACTTTGTTTTACCTCTGAGGTCATAGACTCTCCTGTGACGATCAAAACTTTACATGTAAGCATTATACAAGCAATAATACGCAAGCCTTTTGTGAATAGTCAGAGACCATCCGGTTTACCTATGAAACCTTTTCTTTCTCGCGCGTATAGTGATTCTATGGTGTATTTCTGTTGAATTTGGGTCTAAAGCTGGCTGAGAAATCTCTAAACCTTCAGACCTCACAATTTCTAAGTACCTGGAAAAGGAAGACGGGCCAATTAATCAAAATGTTCGGGTTTTTTACCCAAAAATATAATGCATGCTCTGTCATTAAGCAACAAGCAAAAGCCTCGCAAAGCACACATAGTGACCGTGAAAGAGAGAACTAACGTTTTCTCGTTGAGAAAACCAGACAAAGTTATATTATCAAAGAGAATACACAATATCATGTAAAGGCAAGAGAACATCAAGATATTGCATGTACCAGAAATGTCATAAAAGCCCTTTACCTTATAGGGTCAAAATGCTCTACCCCCAAATCTTCATCCCAGAGAAATATGTAGTCGTAAATAGACACAATATCAGGATGTAGGAAGCGCTTTGCAAACCACCTGAAAGAGGAAAGAGGCCAAGAAGCTGATCCAATATTCAATTAAAGGAAAAAGTAAACATAAGAAATGCCATATTGAAGCAACAAAAAGGACAGACCATTTGGCAATTAATCAGGAAATTCAATCAAATAGAGCATTGTTAGAATAATATTCTTCAAGCAGTCCAAAGTCCATAACCCTATTCTATAGTAAGAACAAGCTCCTAGAGTTGGCACATACAAACGTTAATTGATTTTTCATAATGTACATAACGACAATAACACAAACTGTCAGAAGACTCCTACTTAAAACCAATAAAAATCATTATTTCCCCATCTCATCAGAAACAGCTTCAATGAGAACCTACAATAGGTGCAATCTGTGTTTATTTATAGTTCAATTTTGATATGAACATACACATCCACCAACACATTTCGCAAGAGTCCTTGGACCAGTAGCAAGCGTACCACTTTGTTTGGTTATGAGCTACTATGTGAATGGCTTTCTCACCCCAACCAAGATCCCACCATCCCTCCACATTGCCATCATAATGAAACAAAATAATGGAAAAATTCGCTGCAATAAACTGAATTCAACAAAATTAGGAAAAGAATGTGAAGTTCATCAAATTGAAAATCAACAGGATAAGATGGAATACCATTTGCACGACATCGTCAACATTATCTTTTTGCTTGATACCAACTGGCATTGCTAGCAAGTTCTTATTTGTTGTAACACTAGCCTGCAATGAGATGACCAGCTAACGTTATAGACAATCATATAGAATCTCATCTTTATGCAAGAATAACAAGAATACAGCAGACAACGACAGTCATTGAACTGTAAAGCCTGGCAGTTCATCTGTTACCGTTTCCATTTAAAGAGAAAAAACAACAAAGAAAGTGAGCTGCATGCATAAATTCAAGCTAGCATACAAAAAGATTAGAGACTCACCTTTGCCTGCGAATTGCTTGACCACAGAGGCCTTAGTTCCAAATCTGAACGAGCTTGCATAATGCCACGAGGTAAACCTTTAAACTTCCCATAATGCAATCGATGATCCTAGGCACAAACACACCTTTTAGTTTCCCATACTGGTAATCCTACCCACGAAAATAATATGCAACAAAAGAGTTGCGGAAACGATTGAAGGAAAATAAATCCTAACAGCATACGATGCAAGCACTTAATCAACTCATTCTCAAAACATATTCAGAAGAAAAACAAAAAAGCTTCAACTTATACAAGCTCAAGCATGGAAAGGAACTAAAAACTGACTTGGCAAGGTATATGCAAGATTACAAATTTACAAGTAAAAGGACGAGTTTACCTTTACTGTTCCGAAAGGGTGAAATTTGGTTTCCATCTGACAATAAGACCAAAAACATTTAAACGAGATTAGAATATAGATGTAGCAAGCCTCATAAGGTGCAATCATTTTTCAGACAGCTTATTCCAATAAACCAGTGTCGATAACGTAGTGAACCGAAAGGTAACAAAAGATCCACAATTGATCACCACAATGCCAAAACAAATATAAAAAACCACAAAAATCTAGAGAAAAAGAGTTGACAAACCTCTGTCTTAAGGTATTGATAATTTGTGGTTCTATATACAATGAACAACATAACTGTACAAATAACTCCCATAAATCGAATCTGATTCTTTTAAAGCCGCAGTTTACCTGCAACAGCATCAGAGAATTATAAACTTTAAAACTAAAATGCTACTCAAATTTCTATCTCACAAGGCCTTCAAGCTTGAAGCAAAGAAAGAACATACCCCCTCAAATAAAGCAGTTATTTTCTTGACCAGCGCATTCCATGATTGACATGTCTTCATACAATCAAAGTTTTTCTATTACCCTAAAAAAAAACTGCAAGGAATTTCAAGGTAAATGATACAATTATATAAGCTACTAATTAATTTTCTACTGAGACACTATACATAATAACAACAAAAGAACCCTTTTTCTCTTTTATAGCTTCAGCAACTGAGATAAGGAAATTGAAGTTACACGAGGAGGATAAAATAAATATGTAAGCTTAAAATTCAAGACGGTGATTAAATAAGTTGAAGCTTGTGCATGTGCATGTGCCGTCTCAAAGTGTTTTTTCACGTTGCCATTCTAAATTTAGAAATTTAGACCGACACCCAAAAATCTAGAAGAGAAACAGAACAGAATCTAACAAAGAACATTGAAATCAAAGAAAGAGTTTGTTTGAGTATTTGTTAGATCTAAGGCCGTGGGTATTACTGTTTTGAACTCCTCGTCGAGATTTAAAAGCAAAAAAACGAAAATATCAAGAGGAATAAAAACAATAGTTTTAACCGCAAAGATTTGATTTTTAGATTGAAAAAGAAAAGAGTGAAACGAGAAAATCCAAAAGCCAAAAGGAAGCTAAGATAATATCTACAAGATGAGAAACAGAATGACCGTGAACTATTACCGGATCTTGATCCACCGACCATTAGAAAAACCATAAATTGAAGAGGAAAAATGATTGGTCAAAGCTGAAGCTGTGAAACGAGTAAAAAAAACTTGGGATAAGAAGTGTAGTTTGATTCGAACGAAACCAAGTTGAATGAACCGGCGAAACACAGAGTAAGCAAAGCCATGCACAGTTTCAAAGGACCTTTGCTTTTAGCAGTTCAGCTTTCGTATGGCTGATTTAAGCTTTCGGGTTAATGAGTCGTCGAGAAATGAATTGCCAATGATTCCCAGGGCGATAGCTCCTTCCCCTCCAAATACTCACATTCCCATTAATTTTTGAGCAAAAAACCAAGAGGAAAAGGAATATTTTTTTAATTTTCATGGAATAGCAACAGCTTCATCAAGGGAAAAAAAACATTCGTGGCGTGGCGTGTGTATATCTCACTTGACTATCACTCCATCTCACATGGATTTTCATTTATTAAAAAAATTTAAATTGTGTAGATATTGTTAACTAACGACATATCTTAGATATTTTTCTCCAAAACATCATATTAAATGAAAAAAAAACTATCGAATTAATGGCCTATTAGACTTAATTCGGGGAATAATATAAGAAAAAAATTAGGGAAATAAAGATATGATAAAATATTTATAGAATTAGACTAAAAATAATAATTAAATATATAGTTCTCTTTAGAAAATTTTATTTTATTTAAATTGTCGTGTGATAATTTAAAATTGGAATGTGTATTTTATAATAAAAAGTTATCAACAACTAGTAATGACTTCGTAAAAATAATGACCAACTGTTTATAGTTTTAATAAAACAAACAAACAAAAAATTAAAAATATATATATAAATATATAAATCAATCCACAAAAAAAAATATTAAAATGAAAGAAAAAAATCGACGAATAAAAGAAAAATTACATAGACAATACCCAAAAGAAAAAACATGGTTCTTGTAATGTTTATTTTCTTCATTATCCCCTTTATTTTTACTTTTTATTGCAGTACTTATTTCTTTGATTGATTCCTTTTTTTTATTTTAATTTTTGTATTAAAGTTGTAGTCAGTTATCCATAATTTTGGTAAAATTGTTGACAACAGTTGACGACTTCATATTATAAAATAAATCCTCAATTTAAATAAAGTTATATTTGTTTAAAAATTAATATTTAAATTTAATTTTCTTTATTCGTAATATTATATTCTAAATTCCTAATTTAAAAATCTGAATCAAATACCACGCAGTATATTATACGATGGTCTGACTTTAAGCAAAGATATATTAACCAAAATTGTAGCAAATATGTTGTTAGCGGAAACTAATGTTGGCATGGTGCGTCATTACCATTAAGAATATTAATAATACGCTAAAACTATATAATCCATTCATGTACATTCACGCCCTATTTCTGATCCTAGGTTTATATCGTAAGAATTGAAGATGCACTCGTGTAAGTATCATGCAGATCATCATGCATGCCACATATTGTTTCATAGCACATGTTTCGTATCATGCTTGCAATTTTTATTTTTATTTTTTGGTTCAAAATCACCCGTTTTTCGTGTAAAGAAACACATGGGGGGAGGTAGATTCCTTACTTAGATTATTTTACACAATATTCTTGATTCCTTTTACTTTATATAATATTTATATAACAATTAAAATCTAATAATTAAAACATAAAATAAATTTTGAGTAAACTATCTATTTGATCACCCACCTACTTTTATACATATGTTTTAATCACTTAATTATTTTTTAAATATCGTATCTAATGTTACGTTTCGTTTGTGCTTTAGCCGCTCAATGTTAGATTATCTTTATAGGTGTGAATTTGTGATAAAAAATGATTTTGATCATTCAAATAGTGATAAAAATACGAACTCTTGTGACCTCGGTAATAAATGTATTATGTTTTTTTTAGGTCCTGGGTTCGAGCATCGGCAATGCCAAAGGTACGAGCGATCAATGTCAAATGGTTGAGAGTTATCTTAGAACAAATACTACTTTGTATTTACCCCAAATTAATAAAAAAATAGTTATAAAATCACAATTATAGTTCTTATTAGTCTTTTAATTATAAAAATACTCGTTGCTCATCATATTTTAAGTATTTTATATTTTATATAAAATTTAACATATTAATATCATATAATTGAAAAACAATTATTCTTCGTATAGTATTTATATTATTTAATTACTTTAATTATGTTATATTTGATTTTCTAAGTTGGGCCATGATTGTGGCCATCATACCCCAATTTTTTGCGCATGGCCCATGTAATATGGGTTTCTTGAGTTGCCAGGCTTAACATTCATTTCGGTTACAATTTGTAAAACTTTGTTCAGCTAAATAATAAAATGAATAATATCACATTATGATTTAAATTTCAAATTCATCCTAAATTTTAAAATGTTTTAAATAGATCCTCAAATATAAAATATTGTATCAATCAAGTATTTTTGTTAATACGACCATTAGTTTCCGTGTCGAATGAAAGCTTAAATATTCATGGAGCATATCTAAAACGTACAATCAAATTGTAATCACGTTTGTATTATGCGTGAATAATTTGAATTTAACATGTTAAAATTTGATATATACGTGTTTACACTTTTATGTGTTTTTGAATGAACTTCACATCACATTTGAATTGATATTTGAGGTCTAAATTGATGATTAGGTTAATAGAATGATTCGATTGATATAATATTAATACTTGGAAGACTCGATCGAAACGGTTTAAAATTTAAGGTTAATTTAGAATCTAAATGATAATTTAAGGAGGGTTTTCTACAATTAACCCTAAAAAACAAGGGTTTCTTTCTTCTTTTTTAATTTGTTTCATTTATTTTCACTGATTAGTGTTAGTGTTACATCTGAGAGTGCTGTTCTGCAACTGTTTTCCAAAAAGGTAGAATGGCAAACTTTTACGCCATATAGACACCTCTACATTTAGTACAATCAAAAGAACAAAAAAGATCAATTACACATTGTACAACATGATCACCGGGCTCGAGTTCTCTTTCTTCCTTTTGCCGGAGTTTCGGACTTTTGATTAGCACGTCCACAGCCCCCTTTCTTCGGACGAGCCGAAACCTTCTTCGTCACCGCCAAGGATTCTACTGACGGAGGAGAGCTTGCATTGGTTGGTTTTTTATTTACATGTGAATTCCCAACCACTTGGTTCCTATTGTTAGTTGCATTTCCCAGCTGTTTACGATTGCCGGGACGAATGCTTCGCGGCTTGGCGGGAGGCTTATGCATTGTTCTGGGAGAGGTAAAAGTGGTGATTGGAACCTTACTTCCGTACTCCTTGAAATGTTGTCGCAAAGTTGCAGTGACGATGTGTCTAAGAAGTAGTGCGGATTTATATTCACGTGTGTTCTTGGAGTAGAAAACCAACGCATTGTTGGCAACTAACAGCATGTCCCGAAAGAGTTCTCTGACAGATATGATTGAGTTATCGCCGATTCGTGATCTTATAGTGTCGAAATCTATGTGCCGGAGGATCATTTCTTGTATCTTCCTCTTTTCTGAATGTGAGAAAAGAACAATGTTGAGATTATCTATTTATCACATAAAAACTCAGTAATCATTAACAAGCTAAACCGAGATACGGAAGCACAGCGTTCTTACCTGGCTGTCAAGCCTTCGTCGAAATACGGAAGCACAATCGTTCTCTGCCACAGAACTGAAAATTCCCATTATTTCATCAAACACTTCCTTGCTAGAATCCCTGCTCTGATCCTCGACACCTGAAGATCGGCAAATGTGAGCAGAGTTGCTAGCTGAAGTTTCTTTACACCATGAGACACTTGCGAAATCCGATGTGCCAAGAAACTCACTTTCTCCGACACTAGCTTCTTTGGCATCCTTACTGCAACATTTCTCTTCCTCTTCCCTCTCTTCTTCTTTATACCTCGCAACTGTCCTCCAAGGAAAGCATCGGCCAAATTATCAATGCTCGGAATTTTCTCTGCCTCGGCTGAGGTCGGTGAATTTCCCGGCTTTGAGTCCATGTCTTCAGCAGGCACTGTAGCTGGAACCGGACAATCAGGTGCCCATTTTGTCTCGGCTTCCTGTGTGAAACTACCTGCAGAGAGGCCATCCTTGTATGTATCCTTACTGGAAAATGCAACTCCTTGGGATTTAGGACATGGTAGGACTGATTCCGTCTGACTGCAATCGTAGCCAACCGGTGAATTATCTCTCTTCTCAGCCTTTAAGCTTTCAAGCTTCAATTCCAACGACCTACAAATGCCTAGCATGAGCCCGGTGTAATATTAATGCAATAATGCAAGTTTTTACGATGAAAAAAATCCACAAAAACGAAGAACAAACCCTATACAAGTCCATGTACTCGGAGACATCTGAAACTATAAACTCGACCAAATTCCGAAACTCAATTTAAGTATACCTTCACTAAGTTATGTTCAATCCGTTATGCAAACGGGAGAAATTACGACTATCCCAAAAAAACTCAATTTAAGTATTATGGAACTCCAACAGCTCAATCCATTGACAGATTCCTAAAAGGAGTAGCCTAATGCATTTGCCTGAGAAGAATTGAATGTGGTTAACTATATGATTAACCATATCCCGGTCAGCAATAAAGGCAAATTACTCACCCAATCGAATCTTCAGATTGCTCTAAAGCTCGTCTCAGCTCCGCCATTCGTTGTTTACGTAACTCCTCAAACCAAGCTCTAAGAAGGAAAATGTAACAAAATAAAGTTAACAGAACATCAGATTTCATAATGTAAAGCATGCAAACGAACTCCCGATAGGATTACTCACGTGCAACCCGAGTAACGCTGTTGTAAATCCTCATACTTAGCCTTACAAACCTGCAGAAAGATACCGACTTCATCAGAAAAAATCATGAATAAACTTAACTGGTGCGGACGAATAGTTTCACACACTTCATAGAAATAGCAGTACTATCATCTAAACTCCTTTCTGCATCAACAAGAGCTCATATGGTAGAGTTACTAAATAAGTTGGTCCGTACAAATTCTTATGGAAACATGATTCATAGCAACTTCAAGAATCGTCGGAGCAGAACCGTACGTAAACGTCACACGAGCCAACCTACATCCCTTAACCAGTTCAAACGGCAAACCCTTTGCGGGGTTCGAACTTTAGGTCGTTATCATCAAACATTAGGACAAATTCTATGGTTTTTGGAAAGTAGATTGTACTAAACAAAATTAAGCATTGGCCAATGCAAAGTAGATAATGATGGCTGCAATATATATATAT